TCCCCACCCCGGATGCCCGGATCCCCACCCCCGGAGGCCCGACCCCCGACCCCAGGAGACTCCGATTCCCGGTCCTGCCCGGCGGAGGCTCCGATTCCGGAGCTCCGGACCGCCGCTTACTCGTTGCGCAAAAGTCTCTCCTGGCGCCTCAACCTCTCCCGCAGCTCGGTCGAACTCCGCCGCGCCAAGTCCTCGGGAGCTGGGGGCTCGAAGCCGCGGGGCAGCGAGCACATTGTGTGCCGGCTGCGGCTGGCGCGGCGGGCAGGCTGCCTCCCCGGCGGGCCCCACAGCGGGCGCAGGATCCGCGGCCGACGGCGACTCCGGCGTGCGGGCGGGAGTCGCCATTTTCCCGGAAGAGCGAGGCTTCTTCGAGCAAAGCTTCCCGAACAGAGCTTTATTGAAAGCCCGGAAATGGACACGGCCAGGAGCAGGGGGCGCCCGGGGGAGGGCGCAGGGGCGGAAGTTGCGTCATCACGGAAGCGCCTGGGTTTGGCGCGCTTTTTCTAAGGCGTCATGGGATCACCAGCTGTTCACTGGTATTAGGAAAAAGTGTACAACAGTGAGGCCTGAAGAGTGAGACCCTGTCTCAAAATAATAGATTAATTAATTAATTAATAATAAATAAAACAAGTCCAGTTGGCTATATGCCGTAATTCCTTGAGTCAGCTTAATAAGGCTACACGATCACTAATTTAAGGATAGCTCAAGCTACATAGTGAGACCCTGTGTCAAGAAAAAGAAAGGAAGAAAAAAATGAAACAAGAAATAATGGCCAGGGCTGGAGAGATGGCTCAGAGGTTAAGTGCACTGGCTGCTCTTGCAGAGGACCTGGGTTTGGTGCCCAGTACCCACATGGCAGGAAACACCTGTACATAACTCCAGTTCAGGGGATCCTATGCCCTCTTCTGCCTGTAACTCCAGCCTCAGGGGATCCCAGCACCTACACACATGGCACACACACACACACATATAAATAAAATATATCTTTAAATTTTTGTGAGGTAAAAAGATCATATTCTGTACATTGTGTTTCATGGATTAAAAAAAATCGTTCTCCCAATAAGCTGTTAAATGTTTCCCCAGTCTGGCTTTTGCCTTCCTTCTGCTGGAGATGAGTTTCCTAAAAGAATTGCTTATGCTCTCTAACCCCATCTCTTCACCATTCTTGCCAGGGTCACAAATTCCCTCCTGAACATCAAAATTAAGGAACCACATTTGGTCTTTCTCCTCCTTGCTGCAGCTGACAGTACAGATCACATCTACCTTCTTTAAAACTACCTCCCACTGTAAGCCTCTAGGCACTAATCTCAGGGTTTTCAGCACAGGGATTTTCTCTAGAGCTAAAATTAGGGTTAGGGAAAAGACCTTGCATGCCACCTGGATTTCTTAATCATTTCTCAAGTCCAAACTATCCAAAAATGAGCTTGCACTTCCCTCTCCAACCCCAATCTTTTTTCAGAGATTTATTTTTTTACATGTATGAGTGTTTCACCTGCATGTGTGTAAGTGCACCCATATTATGCAAACCTCTGGAAGCCAGAAGAGGGCATCAGATCACCAACTGAAGTAGCAAATGGTTGTTAGCTGCCATGTGGGTGCTGGGACCAAACCAGTGCTCTTAACTGCTGGGTCATCTCCCCAGGCCCCCTACTCTCTTTTAAGTTCTGATTTTTAAATATAATTTTTTAAAAATTGATTTTATTTTTAATTGTGCTTATGTGTGTGGGTATGAGCACATGATTTCAGGTTCCTGAGAGGGCCAGAAGAGGGTGTTGGATCCCCTTGGAACTGGAGTTACAGGTAGTTGTGAGCCACTGATGGTGCTAGGACCTGAACTGAGGTTCTCTGGAAAAGGAGAACGCACTCTTAACCACTGAGCCGTTTCTCCAGGCTCCAAATTCTGACTTTAAAAAAATTTTTATTTATTACTTTTATTTTATATGTATACATGTATTTCCTGCATGTAGGTAAGTGCACCCGTGCCGTGCAGTGTCACAGAGGACAGAAGAGGCTGTTGGATTCCCTGGAACTGGAGTTACATGTAGTTGTTAGCTGCCATGTGGGTGCCGGGATTCGAACCATCTCTCCAGCCCCCAAATTCTGACTTTCTAAATAGCATCAATGTCTAGCTAGTTGTTTAAGCCAGAAAGTAAGTGCTCATATCTGATTATTATTTTACCCTCCACTCAAATGGTCCCGAAATCCTACAACATAATACCTTCCAAATCTTTCCCTGCTTCCCAATGCGCTCTCCTCATCCCATCCCTTCCCACATGCCCCATATACATCATCATCTCCCCATATACCCGTTGTTGTTAAACTGCTCTGGTAATGGTCCCCTAAATGATCTCCCTGTTTGTAACCTAAGCTTCTTGCTTCTACACTGCTAAGGGGTATATCTTTTCCTTTAAAGAGCTACTTTTGCTTCCTTCAGTTGGGTTATTAATACAAGAAGCACTGCTTCTAATGTAACAAAGAACAAAAGTGTCTAACTGCAAACTCATTGGACCTCTCAATGCATAGAGATGCCCCTTCTTTGATGGCAGGATTTCTGGAGAGTGAGGGTTGCTGGGAGTGCAGCAGAATAATTTACAGATCCATATCCAGACTTGGCCACAGTGGGTCAAGGAGCAGGAACTGGAACAGCAGAACGATAACTGGAGAACAGCTGAGATTAGGAATCAAAACGGGTGAATCTCAGAAGCTTGAGTGAGTAAAAGGGGGCTGGAGAGATGGCTCAGGAACTAAGAACACTGGCTATTCTTCCAGAAGACCTGGGTTCGAATCTCAGTACCCACATAGCAATTAACAACTCCATAATTCCAGTTCCAGGGGACCTGACGGCTTCTATCTTCCACAGGCATTGCACAACATGGATGCACTTACACACATGCAGACAATACACATGTACACATAAAAAATAACTTTTAAAAAGAATGAATATGAGACTGGAGAGATGATTCAGCAGTTAAGAGCACTGGCTGGTCTTGCAGAGGACCTGGATTCAAATCCCAGCACCTACATGGCCGCTAACAACCATCCATAACTCCAGTTCCAGGGGATCCAACGCCCTCTTCTAAACTCAGGCATTGCATGGGTGCCCCCACATGCATGCAGGCAATACACTCACACACATAAAATAAAAGTAATAAAAAAAATTTTAAAAACAGTAAATTTGGGTCTGGAGAGATGGCTCAGTGGATAAGAATATTGTTCTTGCAGAAGACCCAGGTTCCAATCCCAGCACCCATATGGCAGCTAACAACTGTCTGTAACTCCAGTTCCATGGGATCTGACAGCCTCTTCTGTCCTCTGCAGGCATTGCACGACTCAGGTGCACTTGTATACATGCAAGCAATACACTAACACACATAAAATTTAAAAAATAGTAAATAAAAAAAGTAAATTTAAAAAGCCACAAAATAATGCCATTTATTTCTAAATAATATCATTTATTTTAGAATGAATAACATGCAAAATAATACTACATTTTACTGCTTTTCTTTTAAAATAGATTCTTTGAGGCATAATTTACATACAGCAAAATTTATGCTTTTTAAGGTACAGATCTGAGTTTTGACAGATGCATACAGTCCCTAGACAGCCAACACAGACCAAGCACAGAGCAGTTCCCTCAGGGCCTACAAATGTATTCAACTTCTCCACTCAGCTCCAGTCCCTGGAAACTACTTACCTGCCCTCTGTGTCTCAAGTTTCACCTTCTCTAGAATGTCACACAAACGGAATCATACCATTCCCTTTCCCATCTGACTTTGTTAATATGTAGCATAATGTCCCTAAGGTTCACCTATGCCACTGTCTCTTCTTATTGCTAAGTAGTATTCCAGGGTATGGAGTTGTTTATGGATTTAACAGCTGGAAGATACTTGAGCTGTTTTCAGTTGTTAGTGATCATGAATCAAGTCACTGTCAAACATTCTTGTATCGGTGTTCTTACGAACATAAGCCTTCATTCCTCTTGAAAGTAAGATTATCAGGTCATTATTGTCAAGGGGAACAGGGAAGGAGGCACTGCTCTACTCTGTCACCTGCAGTAGCCTGAGGAGGTCCCCTGATCTTTTAGGGACCTTGGCTCGGGCTAGAACAGGATTCATGGCTTTCATGGAGGGAAGAATTTCAGGAGTAGCCAGTATGGAGCAGATTTGGGGCTTAATAAAGACATTTTAATATAAAATGTAAGCATGAAGGTTAAAAGGAAGAAAGGTGCTCAGAAAGAATGTATAAGACACACCCAGGTGTGGGAGTAGGATTCTGAAAGGAGACACCTCATTGTTTTTACAAGAACCATACATAGAAATTTGGTAGATTTTTTTTTAGAATTTCATACATAAGTACTGTATTTACATCATTTCCACTCCTCCCTCTCCTCACTCCAGCTCTTCCCATATGCCCTCCCATGCCCTCTCAATTTCTGGTCCTCTTTTTTGATTATTATTGTTACATATATTTATATATACATACATATATAATGCACCAAGTCCATTCAGTAGGGCTTGTGTTTACAGCATATGTTTACCTTAGCCCTAGGCATACTAGGGCCAGCTACTTGCAATTAGATAACCTACCAGGGAGTTCATCCCTGGAGAAAACTAATTCTCCTCCCTCATCATCCATTGATTGCCTGGAGGGCTTCAACTAGAGGTGGGACCCCGTGAACTTTCCCCCATCCTTGGCATGTCACCTGGCCTTGTCATTACGCAGGTCTTGTTAGGTTACCATATTGCAGAGATTTCACTGGTGCAGCTCCCCTGTCGTGTCTAGAACACACAGTCTAGCCACCCATGTTCTGGTCCTCTGGTTCTGAGACTCTTCCCGTCCATCTTCCATGAAGTTCTCTGCGCCTTAGGTGTAGGGTTGCATTGTAAGTGTATCGATTGAGGTTAGGCATCACACCGCCATTTTAGTCTCTGCGTTTTGATTAGTTGTGAATGGTGATGGACACTTTGTAATAGTGTCCATCTATTGCAAAAAGAAGCCTCTCAGAGTGGTGAGAGCTATACTTATCTGTGTAAGCATTTAGAACATAGTAAAAAATTGCATTGGCTTAGGTAAATGGCAGTAGTAGATTCTCCCCTACAATCTATGACCTCTCCAGCCATATGTACTTGGTTGTTTACAGTGCCATGCATGCTTTCCCTCCTGTTGAGTGGTCTTAAGTCCAATTAGACAACTGTTGATTATTCCCAAGATAAAGTACTACTACTGCACCAATAGAGACATTTTGGTGGGCTGGTCATTCCTGTGGTTCATAGGCTTTACAGCTGGGTAGGATCATTAATTGGGGTTTCTCCCTTGGCAGCTTGCAAAGCACCTTCTGATGCTATGAGTCCTAGTCTTCAGGAGGAGACTTCCAGGTAGTTTCAGCTCAATTTCTCCAAGTCCT